CCCCACAACATCCAACTGTTTTTTGAGATGAGGTCTCGCTCTGACTCAGGCTGGTCTCGAACCTGTGAGCTCAGGCAATCCACCTGCCTTGGCCTCCCAGAGTGCTGGGATTACAGGTGTGAGCCACTGTGCCCAGCCAGAGGAAAACCATCATTAACCCGTCTAAGCACCTCTTGTGATCCTTTCTTGTTCTGTCCCTTCTTTGTTCTGCATCCAAAAAGGGCCAAGTCAGTTCTGCAAGTAAAATCAGTGAGAAACCTTTCAGGTAAACTTCAGGGTGTACCTGGGAGCAGGGAATGCCGCCTGAGGTGTGTTAAAACAGCAACAGGGAAAAAAAAATGTTGTCAATATTTGCAACGACACGGAAGACAGGCCACATTATGGAAATGGCAGAACAAATGCAAAACATTATGTTTTATGCAGAGAGACATTTTCGAATGAGGGAGAGTCAATAAAAAGGCTGGGTAGGGTAAAGAAGTTGCCTGTGAGGATAGGGCTAGTCTACCTGCTGAGAAGTCAGATAAGACTTTCATGGCCTACCCTGCCTGCCGCCCCACAGTCCCATTTTAGGAAATAATGGAAACTTCCCAGGGACTCGTGGAAAAATCGGGAGGTGCTTATGCCTAAAAGACTGAGCACCACAGCATCCTGGTGCTCTGAACGGACTGGCTGCTCTGTCCTTCCTCAGGCGCTAAGAATTAGAGGAATGTGTTTAAACCAACAGCTTCTAACGCCAGATAGCCTGGGGCCAAGTTTTGGGTTAAACACCTGCTGTGTGATCTTGGGCTTGTTGCTTAACCTTCTGTGCCTCAGTAGTCTTGAGGACCAACTAGTTAACTCAGGGAAGTGAGGAAGGTTGACATGAAAATCAGGCGAGCAAATCAGTTGACTTGAGGTGAGAAAGGTGCTGAGGACAGGGCTGGCACGAAGAAAGTGCCTCATCAGTAATTGTAGTAATTAGTATATTCATGTGAGCTGCCAGCTAGTAGCAGGTCTGGCCATCGGGGCATTCTGGGTTCTTTTTTTCTGGCTGTGACTGTGAATGTTTTGTGTGGCTTGTCTTTCTTTCCTCCTTGGTAACCCAAGAAATGATTATGAAACATTTGATTTCATATAATTTTCATATAATCAAAAATGATTATAAAACTCATGCATTTTAAGGAAGGAAGACAAAAGACACGGGTGGGGACAGGTGGTTGTCAGGTGCTGTATAAATAACACGGCATAAAGGCCGGGAAGCCCAGCTTTGGAATCAGATGCATTTTGCTTTTGTGAATGTTCTCAGGATCAAAATGGAGACATTTGTGTTTAAAAAAAAAAAAAGTCCTAACAAACAGAGCTGCATAAATGCCTGGTAACAGAATTATCACAAGAGACTGCAAAAACCAGGCTCGGTACCTGTAGGTCAGTGGTTAGGGCACTGGCCACATACATCAAGGCTGGCAGGTTCGAACCCAGCCTGGGGCTGCCAGACAACAATGACAACTGCAACAAAAAAAATAGCTGGGTGTTGTGGTGGGCACCTGTAGTCCCAGCTACTTGGGAGGCTGAAGCAAGAGAATCTCTTAAGCTCTTAAGCCAGGAGTTTGAGGTTGCTGTGAGCTGTGATGCCACAGCACTCTACAGACAGTGACAGCTTGAGACTCTGTCGCAAAAAAAAAAAAAAAAGAGAGAGAGAGATTCTCTTGCCTCTGGGTCCCAAGGGGTGCTCAGAGGACTCAACAGGACCAGGATGTGAAAAGTCTGCTCCCTTGCCTGGCATGATGCATTTATTTAGCAATGACAACTCTATCAAAAATCAGGCTGGCACTGAGGGCTGCCCCAAGAATGTCACCGGACTGAGTGGCAGACCCAGGTGAAGAGCAGGTAGAATCCTGCCATTGCCCCCCTCCAGCCACTGCCATCCACGTCTCAGCCATGGGCACTGTCTGAGCTGTGACCAAGCACTTTACTGGCCTGGTGGGACTGCTGACCAGGCCCTGGGACGCCAGCAGGTTGGGTCGGGCTTTGAGATGAGGAGGTGGGTGTCCGAAGCTGCTGTCACTTGGAGAAGGGAGCTGTGAGCAGCAGAGACTGGCCCACCTTGCCCATGGCCTTCACAGTCCTGTTCCTGTGTTTCCCAGATGAAAGCAGTGTCCTGGCCTCTGTCAGAAAAGGAGTAAGCTGATCGAGCAGCTTGAGAGAAAGAGCTGGGAGAATGCAAGGTACACCCCTTCCCCGGTGGGAGCCAGGCTGTCCAGAGGAGGCGAAGTTTCTCCCCAACCCCTGGCATCAGTGCAGAGGGGTGTGCAGTGCAGTCCTAGCAGCCTTGCCCCAGCCTCCAGGTCACCTCTTATAGAAATGAGCTACCACCTTGCTCGACATCCCGGATCTACAGCCTGCTCTGTAAGGAGGCAAGGCAGAGTGTCCCTTTGCATTGTGGAACTTGGTGCGTCCCAGCTACCACTAAAGTAGGCAGGCCCCAATCTATACTTTTTTGACTGAGAATGCTACAATTTTTAATGCAAAGGATTTTTAAAGACGTATCTGAGCCCCTGTGAGGAAGATCTGAAAATTATTGAAATGTAGAATGTTTAGATCTTGGGGGCAGAGACTGCCAGGGCCTGATATACATAATAGGTACCCAATAAACAGAAGTTGAATAAATAGCTGAAAATTAATGTAAATAGTTGGCATGTGAAAATACCTTACGCACAAAGATGTTCACTACAGTGTTGTTTATAATAGTGAGAAAACTTTTTTATGCAGTTTTTGGCCAGGGCTGGGTTTGAACCCACCACCTCTGGCATATGGGGCTGGCGCCCTACTCCTTTGAGCCACAGGCGCTGCCCTGAAAATCCTTTTTTTATAGTCCAGTTAAGAAATCCGTGGTATCTGAATGCAATTAAACGGCATGTTATTGTTAGAATTAACATAAGATTATAAAACCCCGGGCAAGTATTAATGGGATATTGTTAACTGAAAAAGGTGCAGATGAAATCTGATCTTACTATGATTCACACAAAGTGAACATGGAAATCTATATCGATTGAGATTGAAAGGCCTGTTTAGAAATAAAGTCATTGCCACGTAAGATTAGCAGGCTTGTGAGCAATTAAGAAACACCTTTGGTAATGTTTTACGGTGGATTCTAGAATATGTTTTAACTCTTTTAAAGAACCCCCTGCAGTACTTTCTAGACAGATGAGGCGGCTGTTTGCTATTTTCCAGGGTCTATTGGGTGAGCTGTGAAAGACTCCATTGGCTGGGGGGCTTCTGGAAATTTCCATTTCCTGGTGGAAAGCAATTCAGACCTGGCAAAATTATTCTTGGCAAACACAAGCTCATCTCAGAAAGGGTTCTCAGTGCAAAGAGCCTCTAGCAACCGAGGTGCTATAATCTGTGTTGGTAAAACTTTGTAAACAGTGGGACCCGACAGAAGGCTTTTCAGGCTTTTATTTCACATTCTGTTCCTTCTCTCTTTGCCTTTCCCCACAAGTGTAGTAAACAACCCAGGTATGTGGCGGTGGGCGCAGTGGAAGGAGGTCTTAGGTTGTCCCTGCCATCCACTCCACCCTGTCCCTGCAGACCTCTGTCCCTGCCACCTTCACGCCCCTCTCTCACACCTAAGCACCCACCTGTGGTCTGACAGAGGATAGCAAACCTTCACTTTTCTCGCACCTCCTCCCACTGGGCAGCCCCTGGCCTTAAGAAGGCAGAGTGACTTTTTGCTGGTGTCCTGCCCAGGGGGTGTTGGCTGCCCCTGGAGCTGCAGCTGAGAACTGTCTGGCCCTTCATTTGTAACAACCACACTCTAGGACATCAAAATAGGTGTCTGTGGAGGTCTAGGTTGGGCTGGCCTGGGCTTTGCCCCACCTAAGCAGGGCACCAGGGAGACAGAGGCCCCCAGTGGCACCACAGAAGGCAGAGCCATTTGGGGCCACTGGGAGAAATTCCACTGTGGCTTCAGTTGGGCCTTCCTTCCACCCAAATCTCTGGGCTTTCTGCTTGGGTGAGTCATAGCAGGAATTCTGGGTGTTGGCTTTGGGGGCTGTGGGATGAGAAGGGTCCTAGTGTTCAAAGAGTCCCACCTAGTGTTCTAGCAAAAGCTGGGCCTGTCACTTCCCAGCTCTGCCATTTGCAAGGGCACGTCTAAGGACGACTCCCATGTAGTCGATACCACTCAGGGGTGTGCTAAGTGTCTTATGCGTGTTATCCTTTGTCATCTCTCATGGTGCTGGCATGGCATACTCTTCGGAGGTAAGGCAACCGAAGCCCAGAGAGGGTAAGCCACTGGCCCAGTGTCACCCAGCTTGTTGTAATGAAGCGAGGATTTACACACTGAGTTTCATAACCCCATTACTAGGTATCTACCCAGGAGGAAAAAAAAATCATTTTACCAAAAGATAATCTGCACCAGATTGTTTATTGCACCTCAATTTACAATGCCCAAGATGTGGAATCAACCCGCATGCCCATCAACCCAAGAATGGATTAATAAGCTGTGTAATATGTACACCATGGAATACAGTTCAGCCCTAAGAAAAGATGGAGGCTGTACATCTTTTGTATTAACCTGGATGGAGTTGGAGAACATTCTCCTTAGTAAAGTACCTCAAGAATGGAAAAGCAAGCATCCAATGTACTCAATAACAACACGAAGCCAGTAGACGAACTAATACACACCCACATAAGAGAAAAACTCAGCCCAATTCAAGTTTGGGGAGAGGAGGAGGAGGCAGGAGGGAGTCAGGAGGAGGGAGGGGGATCAGTGTGCTCCCAGCTAATGGGCGTGATGTAAGGGTGCATGGCACACCTCCTGGGGGCGGGACACAACTACAACAGGGACTTGACCAACAAACACAACCACTGTAACCTGATCATGTGCACCCTCATATTAATCTGACATAAAAATAAACCAACACAGATTTTCTTCTCAGGCAGATCTCAGGCATCTCATGACCTTCTTCAGTCCTTCAAAGCCAATTTCCCTTGCAAAGCAGCAAAGCAACTTGACACTGGTGCACGTTTCCTTTACTATAAACCCAAATGGCAGAAATTCTTAGAACTGAACTTTTTCTTTTTTTTTTAAAACATACATTTAGCTCCAAAACTTTAGCTTTGCCACTTTGTGTAGAGGCCAAGCCTGCCCTCGGCTGTCACGAGGTGTTGCGATCTTGATTTGTCTCACTCACCGTGACTGTTCAGATGCTCTTGGGAGGAAATACGAATGAGCGGGACCGGGGGTCTGGCCCGGAATCGGCTGGAGGTCTGACGGGATACTTGGGAAACAAGTGGTGCTTCTCTAGAAGGTGAAAAATTCTGAATTCTGAAATGCAGGTGGTCCCAAGGGATTCCGATAAGGCTGTGGAGCTGGATAAAATTGCCCACGTATGCTCCAGGGGGCCGTCTGCTCATACATTCCCAGGAGGAGCTCTTCCTGTAGGGCAGTGTGGCGGTCTCTGCCAAGGGCTGTTCACATGCACATGCTCTTCACTCGGTAATTCTTCTGGGAAGTTTTCCTAAGGATTGAGGGATAAGAATATTCGTTACAGCAAAAATCTGGACGTACCTGAAAATATCAAACTAGGGAACTGGTTCAGTAAAGGCTAATACATCTATTCAAAGGAACGTTAGGCAACCATTATAAGGGCTGCTTTACTTGTAAATTTAGGGATGTGGAAAAATGTTCATTATGTTGCTGTTTGAGTGGCAGGGGGAGCCAAAATTACAAAATAGTATGTTCTAGATGACCCTGTTTTTGTTAAAAGGAATAAAAAATAAGATGACGAGAACACTGAATACACTTCCACTCCTGGAAAAACGGGTCTTGGTTTTGCAGGGTTTTTCTTTTTTTTTTTTGAGACAGAGTCTCACTTTGTCATCCTCAGTAGAGTGCTATGGCATCATAGCTCACAGCAACCTCAAACTCTTGGGCTTAAGTGATCCTCTTGCCTCAGCCTCCCAAGTAGCTGGGACTACAGGTGCCCACCACAATGCCCAGCTATTTTTAGAAGCAAGGTCTTGCTCTTGCTCAAGTTGGTCTCAAACTTGTAAACTCCGGTGATTCACCCACCTCAGCCTCCCAGGGTGCTGGGATTACAGGCGTGAGCCACTGTGCCCCGCCAGGTTTTGCAGGTTTCTTGTCCACAAAGGCAGGATCGAGCTGGCTGTTGATCCACCCGAGAAAGGATGCCTTCAGTTCTTAGGTGACACAGAGCTATCTGTCCCCATCACCGCTCCTCCCCAAGGGCAGGGGCAGGCTAGGCAGTGCTAGAATGGACGGTCATGGCAGCACCTTCTGCAACCTGATTGGAGGTCACTCAGGGATTTTCATCCATTCCTTCAACAAACTTCTTTTTCATTTCCCAGGCACTGTGGTAATGCCAAGGTTGCGGACATGAATGAGACATGAGGCTCCTGATTGTACACTCCTGGGTGGTGCGTCTTACCCATCTCCACCTTCAATGTTTAGCGTCGTACGAGGTACCTCATAGGTGGGGCTCACTAAACACAGGAGGAACCCACAGCATCCCTGTCCTTAAACACTCCCGGGCAAGGATGGAGAAACTGATAAATAAGTTTGTTAAACCACTGTTGGTGGCATGTCCCAGTGGGACAGGCAGGCGGGACGATCCATTGGGAGGGCAGGGTAAGAGGGAAGGCTGGTGCTAATTCAGCCTTTGTGGGTTTCACAAGCACTCTCTTCTGGGAGGATCCTCTCGTGACGCCTGACCCCACGGTTAGCTCTGCATTCAAAGACATAAGGCTATTTAGTGCCTCAGAGCACAGAGAACGTGTGTGATGCCAGCGAGAGGCCAGGACAAAAGGGCTCTTGTAGATTCCTAATAAAGGATCAGGAGCAAGAAGACGACTCCCACTCTCTTAATAATTTCACCCAGCATGTTTTCTTTCCTTTTGCTGACACGTCCAAGGGGGAATGGGGAAAGGAGGAATCCTGAGGGATTTCCAGGTGGAGCCATTTTTTTTTGGAAGCAGAGTCTCATTCTGTTGCCTCAGCGTCAGCCTAGCTCACAGTAACCTCAGACTCCTGGGTTCAAGCAATCCTCCTACCCCAGCCTCTCTAGCAGCTGGGACTACAAGTGACTGCCACAAAGCCCAGCTAATTTTGTAATTTTTAGTAGAGATAGGGTCTTATTCTTGCTCAGGCTGGTCTCAAACTTCTGAGCTTATGTGTTTCCCCTGCCTTGGCCTCCTGGAGTGCTAGGACTGCAGGCATGAGCCACCATGCTTGGCCAACGTGGAGCTATTTTGCTTATGGCCTTTCTACTTCCTGGTTCATGACCCAATGGGAAGGACTCATCTGGGCTTTGGTGAAGTTTAGGGCCAGAGATAAGCCATATGTGGGCACTGATAGACAATGGAGATTAAAAAGATGTTTAGACTCATTAAAATCGGTCATTTAGCAAATGGTTACAAAGCACCTACTCTGCTCCACATTCCAGGTCTTGGGATCCCAACCATGGAGCTCAATTTCCAAAGGGAGCCCCTTGCTCCCCTCAAGTGAGATGCATGTGGATGTGTAATTGATCAGGTACCCTGATGCCCCTAGGCGTAGAGACATGAGGAGGAGACATAGGAAGGGAGACATGGGCACGGTAAGACCAGTGCCAGCCTGAAACCTTCCTGAGTCATCTTCCTGACCTTGAAAAGTTCCCCCTCAACTATTTGAAAGTGGCCAGAGACAGCTGTCTATCCACCATCCAGAAAATACACCCACCTGTAGCTTCCAGGTCACCATAAGGTTACTTCTGATCCCTCACATGGGGTGTGTGTGCTCCCCTCCTTGGCCAAAAGTTATAGCTGACATTATTTAGCATTCTATATGTTTCAGACATATAGAATGTCTGAAAATGTCTAGCTTTGAACCAGCATAGGTGGTTTCCATGCAGTAACTCATGTTAAATTCTCACAACAACCCCAGAAGGTAAGTCAGTCCTGTGTTATTCCTATTATACCCATTTTTCAGATGAGGACACTGAGGTGGTGAACTCACTTCTCCAAAGTCTCACAGTTGATCATCCATAGAATTGGACTTGAACTCAGGCCAGACTGAACTCAGCTCTCATTCTCTTCCCCTCTAGGCTATGATGCCTTTGATTACATGATGGTGGCAGGATACAGTCCACCAGAAAAATCAGCTCATGGTCAGAAGACCTGTAAATAAGTAGCTGCAATACTTATTTATAATACCTATACTACAGTGAGCCAGAACTATAGTCATGGCATATGTCCAGTAGTTTAGGAATACCGAGAGAGGGACTGACTGCCTAGCGATTGTCTGTCTTCCCTCCTCCCATCTCTCCCTCCACTTGTTCCTTTCTTCCTTCCATCTCCAAATATTGATTGAGCACCTTTCATATACGAGGCTGCAGACAAGGCTGTAACACCAGACACAGCATTCCAGGCCCTGTGAATTACAGCCCAGTGGGGAAACAGAGCGAGCAGTAATTATACTGATCCGATAGGCTTGTGGGAAGGGACCAACTTGCCCTGAACTTTCCTGGCTTTTGCCCAGAAAGTCCCCAATTCTGGGAACCCACTCAGTCCCTGATGAACTGGGTGGTTGTGTTAACCTAGCTGTGTGAAAAGGAAATCATAAAACATTCTCTTTTGTTCGCTGTAGTTTTCAATTTGCCAAGAGTCAAATGGGATTTCCCTGTTGTTTTCATGTTGCTTTTGATCACCGGGGAGGTTCAACACTGTTCCTGATGCTTTTGAACCAGATGTAATTTTCAGTGTGGGAGTTGGCTGCTTCTAGAATCTGTCTGCTGAGGCAAAAGTTCTCAAACTTGAGTGGGCACCAGAATCAGACTGAGGGCTCATTACAAAGCCAGTCTCTGCGCCCCAGGCCTGGAGTTTCTGATTCAGGAAGTCTGGGGTGGGATCTGAGAATGGGCATTTCTGACATGTCCCAGGTGGGGCTGGTGTGCCATTCACTGGGGACCACACTTGGAGAAGCGCTGTGTTGAGATGTTTTGTGGGAGCCCTTCATTTAGCAGAGTGGTTCTCACATTTGCTAAATATGCACGTTCGAAACTCCTGGGAGTGTTACAATATACATGTGCAGAGGCCTTGCCCTGGACCAGGCAAATCAAATCTCTGCCAATGGAACTTGGGTTTTGCTAATTCATTAGAAAGTTTTCCCAGATGATTCCATCATCTCTGTGAAGACTGGAGTGAGTGAGGAATCCCTGAACAGACAAAGCCAATTAGGCCTCATAAATGACCTTAACCTTGCTTGATTTGCAAACATAAGCAAAACTTGTATGCCTTTTATTTCTCTTTCTTGTCTTACTTCACCGGCTAGAACTTCCAGCACTGTGCCGAATATAAGTGGTGAGTGTGGATGTCTTTGCCTTGATACCAATCTCATGGGGGAAAGCGTTCAGTCTTTTAAGCAGGAAGTATGTTAGCTTATCGTTTTTTGATAGATGCTTTTTATTAAGTTAAAAGGTGTTCCTTGCTGGCATGGTGGCTCACACCTGTAATCCTAGCACTCTGGGAGGCTGAGACAGGTGAATTGATTGAGGTCAGGAGTTTAAGACTAGCCTGAGCAAAACTAAGACCCCTCCCCATCTCTATTAAAAATAGAAAAACTAGCCACGTGTTGTGGTGGGTGCCTGTGGTACCAGTACCTGGGAGGCTGAGGCAAGGGATCACTTGACCCCAAGAGTTTGAGGTGAGCTATGATGCCATAGTACTCTATCCAGGGCAACAGAGTAAAACTCTGTCTCAAAAAAATAAATAAATAGGCGGCACCCGTAGCTCAGTGGGTAGGGCACCTCCACATACACCGAGGCTGGCGGGTTCGAACCCAGCCCAGGCCAGCTAAACAACAGTGACAACTGCAACAAAAAGAATAGCCAGGCATTGTGACAGGTGCCTATAGTCCCAGCTACTTGGGAGGCTGAGACAAGAGAATAGCTTAAGCCCAAGAGTTTGAGGTTGCTGTGAGCTGTGACGCCATGGCAATCTACTGAGGGCAACATAGTGAGACTCTGTTTCAAAAAAATAAAATAAATAAATATAAAATTAAACTAAATTTAAAAAGGTTTTCCTATATTTCCATTTTCTGAGAGTTTTTTTAAGTCATGAATAGATGTTGATTTTTGTCGATGCCTTTTTTTTTTTGGTAGAGACAGAGTCTCACTTTATCGCTCTCATTAGGGTGCTGTGGCATCACACAGCTCACAGCAATCTCCAACTCCTGGGCCTAGGTGATTCTCTTGCCTCAGCCTCCTGAGTAGCTGGGACTATAGGCACCTGCCACAACGCCCAGCTATTTTTTATTGTTGCAGTTTGGCCAGGGCTGGGTTTGAACCCACCACCCTCGGTATATGGGGCTGGCACCCTACCCACTTAGCCACAGGTGCCGTCCAAGAATATTGGTTTTTTTGGGGGGGGGAGTTGTTTGTTTGTTTGTTTGCAGTTTGTCTGGGGCAGGTTTGAACCTGCCACCCTCAGTACCCGGGGCCAGTGCCCTACCCATTGAGCCACAGGTTCCACCCTGTCAATGCTCTTTTTGCATTAATTTATAGGATCATGTGATTTCTCTTCTTTATTAAGTTAAAAGGTGTTCCTTGTGGGCATGGTGGCTCACACACCTGCTATTTATATGGTGGATTGCACTGCTGGATTTTCAAATATTCAACCAGCCTTGCATCTGTGGAATGAACTCCCCTTGGTTGTGCTATGCAATTCTTATTGCTATATTGCTGAATTCTACCTGCCACTATTTTGTTAAGGATTTTTGTGTTCATGTTCCTGAGGCATGTTGATCTGTAGTCTTCTTTTTGTACTATCTTCCGTTTTAATATCAGGGAACTACTAGTTTCATAAAATGAAATGGGAAGTGTTCTCTTGTCTATTTTCTGAAAGAGAATGTATGGCGAGGGTGTTAATTCCTCTCTAAACATTTGGTAGAGTTCTCCAGTGAAACCATCTGGATCTGGAGACTTCTTTTTTGGGAGCTTGAAAATTACAAATTCAATTTCCTTAACAGTTGTAGGCATATTCAAATGATCTGGTTCATATTGGGTGAGTTGTAGTCATTTGTATTTTTCAAGGAATTGGTCCATTTTATCTAAGTTGTCAAATGAATGTGTGTTCTCAGTAGCTTTTTAAAATTCTCTTTCCTCTGCAAGTTTCTCTCACATTGAAATGAGATGCTGATGCCCCCACAGCCTTCCTGCCCTCACTGGGGAAGGCTGGTAAATGACAAAGGAATTAGTACTCTGTGTCTTAACCCAGAACGGCATCCAGACGCTCAGGCAGAGCCCAGGGTGGGGCAGTTTCATTATAAACGCACAGAGCTTGGGGGCACTAGCTGGCCTTGGGCCTCTCCGAAGGGTGCTGGCAGCCTCCGCATCACCTAAGCCTCTGGGAAGAGACCTCAGATGGAAAGAGAAGGCCCTTCC